CTTCTGGATAGAAACCAATCAGCTTCCAGGTTTTATTGCCAAAGCTTAATTGAATATGCTGAGGTTAGAAGCCGATTGGTTTCTATGCAGAAGTGACCCTGACATTGCACTTTCCAGCTTTAGTAAATAAACCCCAATGTGTTAGAAAAGGCTGGCTTTTTAGGTGGTTAAGGTCAACATTTTTGCAATTAGTAAAAATGTTGAGAATATTTTGCTTGATGTTGATTTCCCATGAACGTCAGCTCCATCTAGTGATCATAATGCAGTATTTTCCTGATTGAGGGTATATTGCTGTCACTAGATGGAGCTATCATTAGAAATCAAGTTTGTGATGGCTGAGCAAATTTTTGGGTTTTTTTTGTTTTGTTTTGTTTTTAACCACTTGCCACCCAGCCACTGTAGAAATACGGCAGCAGGACGGCACTGGCAGACAAAACCACGTTTTAAAACATGTGTTTTGTAAACAAATTGGGGGGGCGCGCGCCGCCGCCCTGTCCCGCCGATCACCGCCGCAGATGTGAGTCGCCGGGTCACAGCCGGTCCTTAGCGGCTAGCTCCCCGGCGATCGGCGGCAAACAGTGACAGACAGCACAGCTGCAGTAGCTATGCTGTCTGTCACTTCCTTGTCAGCTCGAGGATGAGCTGATCGAGAAAGAACAGTTTCTCTTTCTCTATCAGCCTTGTCCCGTTCAGTACACACCCCCGCCCCGCCCCCTAGTAAAACACTCCCCTCACTCCTATAACCCTTCCCTGCAAAATAAACATATCCCCTTCCTCCCCATTGTCATTAGTACAGTGTCAGTGTTTTTTTTTTTTTTCACTGATCACTGTATTAGTGTTTTTGGGGATGTCAGTGACCCAAAGTCAGTACCCCCCAATGTCAGAATGTCCGCCGCAGTCCCGCCATAAGTCGCTGGCATAAGTCCCTGATCGCCGCCATAATTCGCTGATCGCCGCCATTATTAGTATTAAAAAAAAACCTAAAAATCCAAGTATCTTTCCCACCATTTGTAAACGCTATAACTTTCACGTAAACCAATTAATTTACACGTATTGGGTTTTTTTTTTTTTAGCAAAGACATGTCGCAGAATGCATTTTGGCAGAAATTTATGACTAAATTTGATTTTTGCATTTTTTTTTTTTTACTGGACATGTTTTATAGCAAAAAGTCCAAAATATTGTTTTTTTTTTCCTCAAAATTGTCAGCTTTTTTTTTTATAGCGCAAAAAATAAAAACCGCACAGGCAATCAAATACCACCAAAAGAAAGCTCAATTTGTGGGGAAAAAAAGGATGTAAATTTCATTTATGTACCGTATTGCATGACCGCGCAATTGTCCGTTAAACTAGCGCAGCGCTGTATAGCAGAAAAATGGCATAAATTGCAGTATTTATACCATAGTTTGTAGACGCTATAACTTCCACACAAAGCAATCAATATACACTTATTGGGATTTTTTTTTTACCTAATACATGTAGCAGAATACATTTTGGCCTAAATTTATAACCAACTTTGAGTTTACTATATATTTTTTTATAGCTGAAAGTAAAAAATATTGTTTTTCTTCAAAATTTTTGGCATTTGTTTGTTTATAGCGTGAAAAATAAAAAGCGCACAGGTGATCAAATTACACCGAAAGAAAGCTCTATTTGTGTGAAAAAAGGACGTAAATTTCGTTTGGGTACAGCATTGCATGACCGCGCAATTATCAGCTGAATTAGTGCAGCGCCGAGTAGCAAAAAGAGGCCTGGTCATTAAGGGGGGTAAATCCTCTGGAGCTCAAGTGGTTAAATAGACCTCTAAATGTCTTGCTTGAAGTAGTTTATGCCCCTCCATGCTGGACCTGTGATGTAAACCTTCCATGCTGAACTGCTGTAAACTAAAATGGGAACCAAGTTGTTAAGTAGATTAACCTATGATGTAAACGTGTTAGAGTGAATGATTTCATAAAGTGACAATGTTGCTTATTAAAAAAAAAATATATAAAAAAAAAAAAAATAAAAAGGGAGGTCTCCACAAGAGAAGTATTATTATACTTACCTCCCCTTGGGCCCGTGTCTCCTAACTTCACTCAGTTCAAGCACAGCACACTTTTAGGGGGAGAATAATTTGACACTTCCAGGAGTGTCAGACATTTGGCAGCACACTGGCTTAGTGGTTAGCACTAGGGTTCTCAGTTTGAATCCCAGTCAGGACAATATATGCATGAAGTTTGCATTTTCTCCCTGTTCTTGCGTGGGTTTCCACAGGGTAATCTGGTTTCCTCCCACACTCTATAGACATGCTGGCTAACTGGAATTATCTCTAGTATGTGAGATGATGTGTTGTGTAACTGATCTAAATAAATGCTGATGTCCCCTGACACATGCTGCGGTTCCTTCCACTCACCCCTTACTCCACTACAAGACACAGCTGTGATATAGGGGTCAGAGGATGAATCTACAGTGTGTGACCACAACATTTATTTGAATTTGATTCTGCTACAAAATTAGCTACGTAGAATTTACAGAGATTTTGTGAAAATTGAAGATCAGGGGAACAAAATAAAATTTTAAGCTATCCACTCCAAGCTTGTAACGTAAACTCCAGAAAGTCATAAAAGACAAATTATAGCAGCTCTCTATTCATTAATACATCATTATGTCTGTCTAAAACTGAAACTTTTTTTTTTTTTTATTTCAGAGACAATAAGAGAAGGATGAATCTGCTGTACATTTTTTCTTTGTCTATTTAGGGAGATTTCCATTCAATTTCTGTCCTCTAGACACAACAGGAAGTAAGATGATATCTTTGCAATGTGAGGTATATTCCCTGTAAGACAGTTGTCACAGGAACGTGTGTCCCCATTGCAAGAATTCCCCACTGCTGTTCTAGTGACAACTCGACATTTCATTTCTTAACACTACTTCGGATTTTTTTTTTTTTTAAATAAATACATTTGCTCTTTGTACTGTACTTTTCATTCCTTAAGACAAGGCTGTGCAATATTTGCACCAAAACACAATGAAGAGGTGTTACTGTTAGTCAAATACTTGAAAGCCATCATAAGTTTGCCTTCCTATTTACTTAAAGGCATTTCATCTTCTGTACAGGGGAAATTATGCTGAATAATCTGTACGTTTTGTTAAAGGTTTAGAGAAGCTAAATTGGATGATTGTGTTCTTGCCTCCTTGTTACACGGACTTCTAAAGAAGACTACAAGTGGTCTGTCAACATCAGGAATCTCACCTAGTAAATGCCGGAGAGCATATACTGTATGTAGACAGGAAGTTACTACAAAGAGACTGCAGGGGAATAGCACTGAGATGCATAAGTAGAATGAAAAATGATGTTTATGACACCTAGACAGTGATTTTATATAGTCTAATCCAGTGGTGGGCAACCTTTTTTTTTCAACTGAGCCAAATCTCGCCAAAACCACAATTGAAATTTATTTTGAGAGCCAATTTTTAAAACTGAAAATACATCCCCCACATAGTAATTCATCCCCCATATAGTAATTCATCCCCCATAGTAATTCATCCCCCCTATAGTAATTCATCCCCCCTATAGTAATTCATTCCCCCTATTGTGTCAATTCACTTACCTTTGCTCCGCGCGTTCCTCTCGCCGTGTTCCCGCGCCATTCCGGTCTTCAGAGCGGACTGTGAGAGGAGAGGAGTTCGTCACGCTGCCCCACCTACATGCTGACAGCCAATGTTTGCCACGCTCCGCGGGCCGGATTAAAAGGTCCGCCGGGCCGTACTTTGCCATTGCTGGGCTAGCTGCAGAGTCCTGACTTTTGGGGCGGCCGCCCGAGAGGAGGGAGGGGAGCGGGCGCCCGGCACAAAGAAGAGCCGCATTAAAGTGTGTAAAGAGCCGCATGTGGCTCGCGAGCCGCGGCTTGCCGACCACTGATCTAGTCCAACACATAATCACAAAGAGTGGAGGACGACATGAAAGCTCCAAAGAGGTAAGTTCCATAGAACACCATTGCTGGAAAATCTTTTCTAAGGAGGCATTTTTTTTTATTTCCACTGACACCAATGCAAAGGCAGTTTTACTCCTAATTGACATCCAATGCAGGGGCATTTTCTACTCCCATTGACTACCAATGTAGAGGCATTTTTACCTTCCACTCATTACCAATGCAGGGCCATTTTTTACTCCCACTCACCACCTATGCAAGAGCTTTTTTTTTTTTTTTTTTTTACTCCCATGACCGCTGACACAGGGCATTTGTTTTTTTTTATTCAGGTGGCTGCTGACGCAGGGGTGTTTATTATCTCCACTGAACACCACCAAAAGGGCATTATTTCAGGAATAGAGACCAGAAGATCAAGTATCAGGGTGCCGGAAGTATAGCAATAGCCCAGTAAAAATGTGTGAATTTAAAAAAAAAAGGTAAGCTCACAAGGTTAAGTATAAAAAGAAGGGCTCATCTGTTGTGTCCAAAGGCAGACATGGCAAAGAGTTAAAAAAAAAAAAAAAAAAAAACCCCCACGGGGGAGAGGGTAAATAAATGTATAACTTTTTGCTAAAGTGATATCTTTGCATCTAAAATTAATTTATTTTAATAAAAAGGGCAGTAGAAGCTTTTTTTTTTTGCCCTATCCTCTCCAGATACATTTTTAATTAGTCATCTACCTGCTGAGGGGCCACATTCACACTTCGCATAGCGCTGTATTCCCACTTATAAATTTCTTTTTCCCCACAATTTTGGAGTATTTCCATCTGCATTCATACATTTTTAATTAGTCATCTACACTTTTTCAGGCATGGAGCATCTCCCACTGAAGTTTTTATACTGGCAATTGTTATTCTAAGTTGAAGAGAATAGTTCCATTGTATCAGCAATAAATACCAAACACTGCTAACCTTTCTCCCTCTTCTGGTCATCTATAAACACTACAGGGTTTATGCTTAGTCTTGTTATCAGGGGCAGACTGACCATTAGAGCACTCCGGCACTGCCCAAGGGCCCGGGGTCAGTAGGGGGCCCCATGAAATGCCCCTCGTACCTTATATAGGCTTTTTTGGGTGTGCTTTGAGTGTGGGCAAGGACACAGGGGCCTCATGATCCCCTATTGGCCGGGGGCCCCACGAGTTGTCAGTCCGCCTGCTTGTTATGTTAACTTTTTATTATGTAGAATATATTACTTATACCATCATCCAAAGAGTTTTATATTTATTTAAATTTAGTGAAATATGCTGCGATTCTGTGCTCGTCTTACAATTTTCTTAGTTTAGAACTCCTGCCAATCCTCTTAATGATAAAATATCATCTCTACCATGTTCAAGAAAAAGTACAAAATTACCATTCATGTATTTGGCAGAGTTTATTACAAAACAAAAAACACATTTCATAGACATTTACAAATACTTAAAAATAAATTCGACATAACCTCTGCAGTCCTCAAACAGTGAGCCTTAATGCTAGGTTCACACCTGTGTTGGCGATTGCCGCTGCAGGACCACACCTGTTCCCGCAACGGCAACCACTGGCACAGGAAAAACCATGCTGCCACTCAGGAGATGCATGGGGGTGCCATCAATCTTAATGGCACCCCCATGCACTGGGAACTGCATTGCACATTTTTATGTGCGGGTACCGGTTTAAAAAATGGTGCAGGGACCTTTTTCCCTGCGTTTTCAGGAAGCACAGCGGCCCATTCAAATGAACAGGCTGCAGTGCCAGCGAAAACTCACAGAGCCGCACAAGTGTGAAACGAGCCTAAACAAGGATCTAAAATGGTAGAAATACACAGATAAACGTTCTAGAACAAACTGCTGGAAGTGCTTTTGTTGCAATTGATAGTCCAATGAGAAGAGTATTTCACAACAACATAATGTTGCATGCTGGGAAGCAATTCGATTGTAAACAATGGATGTTGTAGAGATCAACTCTACCGTTGTTAAAGCAAGGCCAATCCCTGGGCTGGGAACATTTTATTTTAAGGCGGAAGGGACAGGAAGAATTTCTTCAGAAATCCATGTCACCCTTCATCTGCTTTTCCCGAGATTCCACCCAGGCTTTGTTTAGCGTCCTCTTCATCTCATCATCTCCGTCATCATATATTTTCTTTAAAACGTTCATAAGACCGGCACTGGGGTCTCCATCTGTGTCCATTGGGGGTTTGCTATGCAAAAAAAAATAAAATAGATAATTGATTGGACAAGTATAATGTGTATTATATATTCTGTACTTCATCAGTCAGCACTGGGTCTCACACATAAGCATCAAAGCTGTAAAAAATGAGATTGCCAACAGCATTAACCGAGTGTCTGCCTTTATCCTCTAGTGCAACCTAAAAACTCACGGGTAGGAAATGACCATATGATGTATTTAGGCCCGGTTCACATATGTGCGTTCAAGCGGGCCGCGTTTTGCGCGGGGCATGAGAGCCCATTAATTTGAATGGACTCCCGTGCCCGGGACACTCAGGGAAGAAGTCCCTGCACTTCTTTGGAAGCCGCAGTTCCCATTGCGATTTCCAGTGCGGGCGGCGTGCCATTAGAATTAATGGCACCCGCCCGCGGGTCCGCATTCTTCCATGTGGGTGGTGCGGCTTCATAGATTTTTTGTGCGGATCCGCAGCGGCACCACCCGCACAGATGTAAACCTAGCCTTAGTGAACACACAACCATGCAAAGTAGCCAGTATATTGCCAACACTTAACAAATATGGAGCTTTACAAAGAGATATAATTTCTAGCCACAAATTCCCCAGCTGAGCACCCGTGTATTTGGCAAGTATCAAAATGGGCCAGTCAGCAAGCATTAGTGAGGCCCAAGTGTAGTTTTGCAGTGAAAATTGAAGGGTTAATGAAGGATGCTAGAGGGATTACTACCAAACAGAGTGAAAGAGGGGGTACCACCCCCCCCTACATGGCCCCCCTACAAAAAGAACGCCCTACATGGCCAGTTTCCACTCTCTATAAGCTTCTTCTATTGTACAACACATTGCTCTCCTTATTCCATGGCAGGATGGGAGAGGAAACTTAATTGTGCCATCACGGCGGATGACCCCTCCAAATCTTTTATCTGGACTCAAACTCTCATGATCCTTGCTACAACTCGTTCTCCTGCCTATTCAATAGTCTGAAACCTCTGCTAAGAAAGGTCTGGTCAACTTTCTCCTTATCACTGCTACAGTGGTCATACATAAGCACACACAGGCACTAGAAATCCACGCTCCAAATTTACTGCTCTATCTTCCATATACAGACAGTCCCTAGTTATATCCGACTCATACTTAAGAACGGAGGCAGCATGACGTCACACTGGTCTCAGAAACTGCCCGGTGGCCATTTTGCTGCTCACCACATGCTGCCATCTACTGTCCGGCAAACCTGTCAGCAATCCCACATCACTGCATGGCCAGTTAACCCTTCCCTATGCAATCTAAAACGTAAAAATATTTTTTTTGGCTGGAGTTACACGTGAAAAAAATATGTACTCAGCGATGTTCAATTTATATCGCCTGATGCATGTAGTTCCGGGTGCTGGGCAGGTAGTTTTTTTTTTTTATCCTTCAGCCTTGCTGCGGGAAAGCAGCAGGGCTCACCTGTCAGGTGGACGCATTCGGCGGCAGCGGAGGTTATTACAGGTTTGCCCCGCCCGAAATCAGGTAATACATGAGGACACTACTCCCAGAATAGACATGCAACAAAAAGGGGTTGACATTAGATGCAAATTGTCGAATGTCAAAAGGGAGGTATAACAGAACTCCCACGTCACATTGCACAGTTCTATGGCATAGGACATTGGCAGGTAGTGAGAGAGATGAAATAAAGAAAAAACATTTTTTACAAAGGAAGTCATCCCTCGATGGGAATCCCTCAAAAGGTTACACGCAAGGTAGCCAAACTGATGAGCATTGACTGGAAGTTCCACATACCCTACCATCCACAGAGTTCTGCTCAGGTAGAAAGGGCAAATAGAACCCTGAGAAAAAAAAAAAAAAAACTAAGGAAAGCAGCAGGTGGGACATTTAAGGGATGGGAGTTGTACCTACCAGCTGTTCTGGCTGAGATGAGGATGACACCTAATAAAGTCACCACATTTTCCTTTTTGAAATTTTTATGGGCAGGCCATTCCCCACCCCCTAGACAAATGTTCCTTTGGTAGTTATGCCAGGAGATTTATAATTAATCCAAGAAAGATATATGCAGGAATTGATTAGGGTGTCGAATGGTGTATATGGTGATGTCTCTCTCTCTGTTCCTTTTTTCCCCACAGATGATCCAACCCACCAGTACAAGCAAGGAGATTGGGTAGTGGTTAAGAACCTTTACAGACACAAGACCACAGATCCGCCATACGGAGAACCTACCATAGTGACAGCTGTGATGAGAACCGCAATTCTGACTGCTGATTCTAATGTTTGGATACATGCTTCTAGAGTAAAGAGGATCCCGGAACCACCAAAGAACCAGGAGCAACAGACGGAACAAGGAAAGGAGACAGACCTATAAACACCCTCCAATCTTCAGTATGCTGCTTCATCCAGAGACAGCCTGAAAGAACTTTCTTTTGATCGGTTGTCTCTCAGTGAAAATGTTTTCAGTGGCTTACTGGGCTAGCTACTGCTACTATCTCCCAAAAGAATGGACACCAGTCTGTGGCCACAACAGTAAGACTGTGAATGACACTGAAATAACAAAAAGGAGCAGAAAAGATAATTGACTGAAAATATGTCACTATTGAAATTTAAGTATAGGTATGCCAAGCTCTCGGGAATCGAGAGTTGCTGGGTTTGTAGTATGCTCCACCCTGAAACCATGAACATTCTTTTGTATGCTGCACCAAAAAAAAAATATGACATCAATGTTTATTGGTAATCTGAGTATCATCCTTACAAATGTTACTACAAGGCCTAAATGTGAAGTGTTGGGAGTTATGATGGAACCTGAATGGTGTTTTCATTTAGGCAACTAATCAAATGAAGGAAAGAATTTTGTAGGAAGTCTAAACTTAATGTCAATGGGAAGGTACATGAGGATGGTAACTTTGTACAAGTAAATATCACTAAGACTAGATAGATTAAAAAAAAATCCATAGGAAACATACATACAGGTGTTTTTCTGAATATTGAATTTGAATGTTGTATTGAGAAAACAGGTGCTCATGAATGAAATGAAAATAGAACAAATGGGTGCAGCACTGACTGGGCTATGTGAGTCTACTGACTATTGTACATGGATACATAACACATCTGCGGAGATCCCAGACTGCTATGAAGTCATTGAGAATCATACAGCCCAGGTAAATGCTTTATAAGTTTGAGCTCCATCTATAGGCAAAGATGGCTGCAACCTTTTTAAAAGGGTTGGGAAGTTTTGGAGATTTCTTTGGATGGTTTAAGAAAGTAGGCATGCTGATTTTGTTATGTTTTTTACTCATATTTATATTGTTGATAAACTTTGCATGTGCGTTTGTAACACGTTTTTAAAGAACCAGGATTCATATTTTTAAAACAAAACTGTAAAATTTGATGTGTTGTCACTATGTGACAAAACAGAGGAACTGTAAGGAAATATGTCTTATTAACTGGCATCCATTATTGTATAATGCCTCCATTTCCAGATGTGCGAACAGTCATTTTTGCAACTCCTCTCTTGTTTCTGAGAATAGTTTCTATTTCACTGTAAACGGAACCACCTTATATGGTATCCCTCAGCTATTTGCAGTTTCTGTTCTTCACGCAACTATATTGATAAGAGTGGAAGTTTCATTGGTCATCCTAAGATTAAGCAACACCTACTGAGTTCTGTATAACAGTTCTTGTCATGCATTAAACTTTTAGAGATTTAGCTTGCACACTTCGGTGTCTGGAGCTTTACTTCTCCCTGGCCTGGTGGGAAAATAATCAAGGACATCATGGGCTACAGACATAGGCTGGTTCCTATCAGGGGGCTGGGCATGTTAGATGTACTAGCAGATTTAGATACGTAAATAAATTGAAGCCAAACTCCAGCTAACACTTTTTAGGCAGTTACAGCAAACAGAATACAATAGCTCAGCGGGGGAGATCATTACTGGCTAGATCACCAGGTGAGAATAAAAGAAAAGAAGCCTAAAAAATATATATATTATTATTATAAAATCATTATAAAAAAAAATATTTGTTTTGGCTTGAACGATCCCAAAATTCTTATGCACATTCACCAATGTTACACTCATTTACAATGAAATATTTGTCTGCACTGAGTGGCAATTTCATGGATTGTAAAGAACCCTGTTTGTCATTTACATTTGCTGCATTTATGTCAAACTTTCCCAATAATTCTGAATATTTCTGCTGTAATACTCACTCTTTCTCTTTTGTCTGTTTCTCAACTTGAGTCAAATATTCCCATTTGCTTTCAGATTTTTTCCTTAACATTAGGAGTACAGTGTCTGTCTTCACCTGCCAAGACAAAAAAAAAAAAAAAAAAAAAAGGAAGAAGAAGAGGATATTTTAAGAAATTTCTATCTATATGGCAAAATGTCAAGAAAGGGAGGGCACTAGCCTCAAGCACCATTTGAGATAATGCTCTAGGCTAGTGCGCCCTCATTGTTTTTGTCATTTTCTTTAGAGGTCCCCAGATTCCCCCTATCTGACGAGGGCTGCAAGGCTATGACTAGCTTTAGAGACACCATATAGGCCGGATTGGCTAAGAAGCCTCCTTGTTTCCAAGAACCTTGAGCATTGATGTCTGTTTTTCACTCTTATATGGAAAAATTTATGCTAACTTCTTGCAGGATGACAAATTCAAGCTCTGATGCTGCAGGACAAGAGTTATGCAAAACAACCATGCAGGATCTATTACTTTGATTTATTCTTGTTATAAAAATGCCAAGTACATATGGGTGCCATATTTATGAGTTTCCATAGATCAGAAAGGAGTCCTCAGTACTTCTATCACAGACATCGCGCTGTTCCAAGATTCCAGCTAGTTCCTTGTATGTTTGTATCTGCTAACATTAGCAGAAGACACAGTAGAAGAGCATGCAGCACCTAATGCCATCCAGAGTCCAGAATTCCTTCCAGAAAGTGATGTTGGCTGGAAACAATCATCATTTACACAAACCTATTTTTTAATAAGTAGCAGTACAGACAAAAATGAAAATTAAACTCACTTTTCTGGAACTGTTTTCAGGTGCAATTGGCTTCAGAAGATTATTTACAGTCATGGTATGATTCTTCCCATTTAGATCCTTCACCAATAATTCAAAGGACCTGTGTAAAACAAAAGACAAAAAAGTCAAGAATCACCAAAGCATATATCTAAAATGATAACAAAAGGTACGCTTTACTTTTCTATTTAAAATTAAGGTTACAGTTTTATTTCATAATGTGATCATATTCAGCAACATGAATCTGGGATTTAAAGCAGACCTTCAGCCTAGAGGTCATGTCATGGTGCCCTGCCTCCTACCCCTCCCTCTTACAATTGGAAAGAGTCTTGTGGTACAGCCAAGCATACGCCGGTTTCCTCAACCTTCTGAATACGCATGAGCTTTCCCACACATGCGCTAAGACTACTACCAGGGAAGTCACAACGCCTCCCCAGCTTTGCACTTGGACAGAATATCACCTACGCATTTGCAGATGTGCTGATGGGTTCTGCCAGGACCCAAGACCAGCAGAGCATGATGGTACATCTGTACATGTGCCAAACTGGCATTGCTGAAGGAAAAGGAAGGGGGGGGGTTGCGGAGCCACCCGAGAGGCTGACTGAAGTTCCGCCTTAATTAGAAATGCTATACAAATCAAATCACTTAATATATGTAAGCTGGAGCACTGGATGGTGTCAGGTCTTTCTAAAGCCTCTCTTTCTGGGAAGTTATTGGAGATATGTGTAAGCATGATAAAGAGAATGCCAAATACTGAAAATGTCTGCAAATTTATGCATACTCTGGGTAATTTCTATAATTTTATGCTTTTACTATAAAAAAAAAAAAAAAAAAAAAAAAGGAAGATTGCTCATTATTCAAAGCAAAAATATCTGCTGCAAGAATGGATGGGTAGGATGGATGGTAGTAGTATCAGTCACATATGTATATGATAGGATCATATACCTATATATAATTTTTTTTATTGCATTAATTAATACTGCATTCTATCAGGAGTCTAAAGTCAGCACCACAAGGGATCCAATAGACTGTACAATCTCTTTTGATGTTTTAGTCATCAGAAAGCATATAGCCTAGAGATCACCAGCATGCCCTTAAAAGAGAATTACTCATCTCTGAATGACCACTTCCCACTTTCACTGTGTTGTCCAGGTTGGTCAAACACCTGCATCCCATCCATGCTACTATATCATCTCTCCAATTACTTCTAGTTCATGGGCACCATCAAAACACCTTTACCTTACCTTTCTGTGAATTGGACTTGCACATTATCAGCTGGAATATTCTGAATGTCCTTCAAAGTAATATAGATTTTAACAAACTTGTCAGATTGATCCCATCCTGGAAAAAAAAGGCACAGTGCATAAATTATCAGTACTAGTACACAATTTATAAATTCCTCTTTATTTTAAGGCTAACCTTAGTTCTAACCTAAAGTGCACTACAGGATATCAACCCCAACATTACTTTCAAGTAAATCCATTTTAATGTCATAAAAAAGGCAAAGTAAAGCTGGCCATAGATGGATTGAAATTCGGCTGGTTCAGCTTAAATTCCATGGCCATCTTAAGACTAGCTCTGTAAAACAGGCATCATTAAAGCCCAAACAGTCTCCTGAATTTTGATTCATGTGTATTTTGATTCTGTTCAACAGAAGTCAATCGTTGCGGAATTCCGAATGAACTGGCTAAACAAAAAAAAAAAAAAAAATCATCTATGGCCAGCTTATGGCTAGCACCATTAAAGCCCACAAAGTCTCTCCTGGCAGTATTTGTACACAGACATATATTGTATTACTTACCTTTTCCAGAAATCTTCAGGCCTGTGACATGTCAACTGGGTCCTTTACATCTTTGCCTCTTCTCTGGTGTAGGGTGGTCTTTGATGATGCAGAGTGTGAACTTTGCATCATTACACTGTGAATGAAGGGGACTGTGGTAACACCCCCTCAGAGGGTGGGCCCATGGCACCCTGCACTCACAGTAAGTTCTCAGTCTTCAGAGTTTAATGATGCTCAAGCAGGACATATTGTGATGAAAAAGAAGTACTGAAAGAGACAGCCTCAAAGAGGAGGCTAGTACTGCAGCCAGAGCTTTTTTAAACAGCTGGAAGACGATTTTCTTTTCTTTCTTAGAATACCACCCGATCCTTTATGGTAGTCTTCTGTAAAGCTTCCTGGGGCACAGGTGTACATGCCAGCTACATTCTAGAAAGCAGTGATTGCTGCCTTAACTGAAAATTGCCAGGTCTGAAAGCGGTTATGTGGAGTATAGCTAGCTATATGCAGATATTTTCAGAAACTGTGTGTGGATATGATTACCAGGAGGCTTCTGATAATATAGGAATTGTACATGAAAGTGAAAATATGCAATATATACTAGAATACCTATTTTAGCTTTTTGCCATTAGCAAAATGATTCCCTTTAGTGTAACGCATTCTAAAATCTCTAATGTGTACAGAGTATACAGACCCCCTAGGGTTACATCTATGGGTTCATACCCATGCCATGCTTGTACAGTTCTGAGAACTGCAGTCTGTCTATGCATGAAGGAAAGGGATCGGGTGTATTTTCATGAACGTGTGTTTTCTGCTTACCATAGTTGCTAATTTTCACTGTATACATGCTGGACATGGGAGGGACAATGGCAGATGGCTTTGAAACTTCCATAGACTCTCCTGTTTGTTGTTGCTGTTTGTTAGCGATCTCAGTCTCCAGTTTGCGTTGCTCCACGAACAGCACATCTCGCACTCGTTTTCTTGTCGCCTTTTCCAAAAACTGCTTTACTTCTTCCAGGTCATTCTGAAGCTGGGTGGAAAAAAAAAAAAACATTTCAGTGCCTAAAAATGACAATAATATGGAATATAGCAAGAAAAGCTCGCCTTGCCAGATTACTGTTTGAGAATCATGGAAGAGTCCTTAATGTAAGGTGAAGATCTTTAGCTTAGCATTGAAATCACTTTTCTCTTCTGCATAATGACTCTTTCTTCACAAATCCTCAGGTGTTTATTTTAAAGAGACTTTGTTACTTTGTCCATACAGGGAAAATTGTCACATTGCTTTACCAGATTACTCGGACCCATTTATACTCACCTTTTCTGCACTCCCCACCGATCTGTTGCCACCATCGCAAGTTCTAAGTGTTTGTAGGTATAGGGGAGCATGTGCGCTCAGAACCAAGAGGCCCAAAAGCCAATCCCCAACACTGCCACCTGAGCAGGAGGATGAAATCATGAACCCTGCAGTAGTTCTGATGTGGAACTTACATGGGTTAGACCAGTGTTTCTCAAACTTTTTTTTCAGTCAAGGCACCCTTTAAAATTATGGATAAGGCACTCCATTCTAAAATGTGAAAAACTATTCTACTAGTTTTATATAACGCGGCAACATCCACACACGTAGGACACCCAACATTAGAGGTGATTTATTTCTCCAAACCAAATACACTTTAGCACACTGGTACTGACTATTATTCCAATGTTTCTCTTCTCCATCAGTTTTTCTCCATCACTGAGCTAAGGTGACCCCAGCACTGATGGAGAGGGCCGGGGGAGGGTCAAACTTGGATGCTGTGCAGGCCACCAACTTCCTCCTTATCAACTGATGTCATTGGTTGTCAGAATGCCAGCGGCTAGAAGATCGTAATGGTGCACAATGAAAACTAAAAGGCAGGTTTGTGCCACCCGCGGGCTTGTATACAGGTTTTGGGCATTTTTTAGACATTTTGTCAAGGCACCCCTGAAGAAACCTCAAGGCACCCTGGTTGAGAAGGGCTGGGTTAGACCCCGGGAGCAATGGAATGGTGAGGGAAGGCTGGGAAGGTGAGTAAATTGGTCATGGGTGGGCTGGATAGTCTCTTTAAAAATGGCCATACACTAAACAAACCGATTTGTATCAAATCAGGCAGGCCCTCACACTACCTAGTTGATGGCAGCTGTAAAGGTGATTGTAAAGTGTATGGTCATCTTTAACCCGGCAATAGATGGATTGAATCTTGGTTGATTCAGCAGAGACCAGACAAGATTCGATCCATGTATGCGCAGGCTGGTTGTACTGCAGTCAAACCAGCCTGCCAGATTTTTTTCAAGCGGTCACTGCTGGTAGCTATAGCAGTCAGCTGTGATCATTGTGTTCTGTTGGTGAGGAAGACATCCCACTGGTAGGGCACTGCAGGAGGGATCTCCCTATCAACACCGACTAGGTTGATGGGGAGAACAAGCAATTTTCTTTTTTTCAAGGAAAGAAAACTGCATAATCTGTAGGCTGCTTTAAGCTCAAATTCAGGTTCGGAATCCAATGTCTCCCTTCAATGACAGCAGATTAATATAGGGAGGGGAAAACGGGAGTTCAACTTTAAAGCAGTATTAAACCTAAAGACAAAAAATTTCCATTGCACCTTACCAATCCTTAGATGTGATGGCTGCATTAGCTTTTATTTAGTTTCCTTTATTTTCACCTGGTGATCCTGCCAGCAAGTCTGTCAATTTTCAATGTATTTTAAAAGACCAAGCAGTCCAGCAAAAGTAGCATTACGTGGGTAGAGACAAACTATTTACTACTGACAGGGGTGCTAACAATGATCAGCTTTTATTTATTCATGTAAAATCTTTATCCCAAAAGTAAAAAAAAAACTGTTGTTATAACTTTCTAATGCAGAACTAAACCCACTTTAAAGTGGAACTTAACCCCCCTATCCTTTACAGCTAAGGGCACTGCCATCTTAGCCGCTGTTTGATCTGCAACTGCCATGGTGCTGCACTTGTGATCAGTTTTGACACCAGACATTTAATGGTTTGACAGTTTGGTTGAGAGCACAAGCAAAAGTGACAGTTGCATTCCAGGCACGTGTCAGGAAACAGTTGGATTGATAGGTTTAGATCTGCTTTAATGGTTTCTTAAAACAGTTCAATTTAGGGCATGCCTTCAAGATGAATGTTTCAGCTGCTGGTCTGCTTGTGTTAGCTGCTGTACATATATTCAGGTATGATACGAACTGGAGGGCATGGAAGGCTGGGAGCTGACATAAGCACACTGGCAAATGTGACAGTTTTCACCAGAGGCATGCCATTAAAGCAGAACTAAACGGTTTGGGAGCTCATGCAGGAGGGTACAAAGGAGGCAGAAAAACAGTCATAAATTATTTCATGAAAAACATGTTACAGGGCCAGTAAAACGGAACTTCACCCTGTAAACAAAAATATAAAAGTCAGCACCGAAAGAAAGCTCTATTTGTAAGAAAAAAAGGAAGTAAATTTAATTTGTGTGCAGCGTTGCATGACTGCGTAATTGTCAAAGTAGTGCAGCGCCGTAACACCAAAAAAAAAAAAAAATGCCCTGGTCAGGAAGGGGGGTAAATTCTCAGGAGGGAAAGTGGTTAAAGAGTTGCCTATGGAGATTTGTAAATACCATAGCTTGGCGTCCATTCCACAAGCGTGCGCAATTAGGTATCATTAGGTATTACTCAGCATTACATTATCTTTTATATCTTACAAAAAACTGGGTTATATATACATTTTTTTTTTTTTTGCAAAAATTGTGTTTGAAAAAAAATTGCTACATAAATACCATGTGACATAAGGAAAAAAATTGCACCGCCCACCATTTTATTCTCTAAGTCTTCTGCTTACAAATATATAGTGTGTGGGGGTTCTGAGTCATTTTCTATTTTAAAAAAATATATTTGCATATAGGAGAGAGGTGTGTCAGAATTGGTGTGGGTGGGAGGCAGGTAGTCAGTGGGCTCAGTAATCAATGGGCTTCAGTAGTCAGTGGGCTTCAGTACAGGCTCAGTAACCAATGGGCTCAGTACAGGCTCAGTAGTCAGTGGGCTCAGTACAGGCTCAGTAATCAATGGGCTCAGTACAGGCTCAGTAGTCAGTGGGCTCAGTACAGGCTCAGTAGTCAGTGGGCTCAGTAATCAGTGGCTCAGTAATCAGTGGGCTCAGTAATCAGTGGGCTCAGTACAGGCTCAGTAATCAGTGGGCTCAGTACAGGCTCAGTAATCAGTGGGCTCAGTACAGGCTCAGTAATCAGTGGGCTCAGTAATCAGTGGGCTCAGTAATCAGTGGGCTCAGTACAGGCTCAGTAATCAAGTGGGCTCAGTACAGGCTCAGTAATCAGTGGGCTCAGTAATCAGTGGGCTCAGTAATCAGTGGGCTCAGTACAGGCTCAGTAATCAATGGGCTCAGTAATGGCTCAGTAGTCAGTGGGCTCAGTAATCAGTGGGCTCAGTACAGGCTCAGTAATCAGTGGGCTCAGTAATCAGTGGGCTCAGTAATCAGTGGGCTCAGTACAGGCTCAGTAATCAATGGGCTCAGTAATGGCTCAGTAGTCAGTGGGCTCAGTAGTCAGTGGGATTCAGTACAGGCTCAGTAATCAATGGGCTCAGTAATCAATGGGCTCAGTACAGGCTCAGTAATCAATGGGCTCAGTACAGGCTCAGTAATCAATGGGCTCAGTAATCAGTGGGCTCAGTACAGGCTCAGTAATCAATGGGCTCAGTAATCAAAGGGCTCAGTACAGGCTCAGTAGTCAGTGGGCTCAGTCATCAATGGGATTCAGTACAGGCTCAGTAATCAATGGGCTTAGTACAGGCTCAGTAGTCAGTGGGCTCAGTAGTCAGTGGGATTCAGTACAGGCTCAGTAATCAATGGGCTCAGTAATCAATGGGCTCAGTAATCAATGGGCTCAGTAATCAATGGGCTCAGTAATCAATGGGCTCAGTAATCAATGGGCTCAGTAGTCAATGGGCTCAGTAGTCAATGGGCTCAGCAATCAATGGGTTCAGCAGCACCAGAGGTCCAGAACAGCTGGAATAGAATTCTGGGAGATCCAATTCCTGCCCCCCGAATCTCCTGCCTGTCCCCGGTCATAGAGAACACCGCGAGGACAAGAAGATGGCACACATGGTGACCCTCCCCGTATCCTCTCAATGAATGGACACCGGCCCGGCCTGTCCTCCATCGTCTCCTCTCACCTCCAGTACAGCAGAGTCCATGGCGGAGGATGACTAAAACGAACACACAGCCGCACTCTGGAATCTTCCGCCTCTGCCCCTGCCACTCACGTCACCTCACACGCCCTCCTCGCCCCGCCCCCTATCAGGGTTTCCCTCAGGTGACGGGTTCTAGAAAGTACTAGACTCTTTACAGTACAAGCCTGGAGGCTGCGGCGGCCATTTTTTCGGAGTCCACTATACGCAGACAGTATAGCCGCTATAGAAAAATATCTTTCAACCAGCTGATAGTTATAAAACACTGAATGCATAGTGTATGATTATTGAACATCAAATTGCACGAGCCTGGGTTTCTTATTAGCATAGTGACCGTCGGCAACTTCCTCAGCATGCCCCTCACCGCAATGAGCGCACACTGTTCAGAACAATAAAGTTGGAAGCCCTTGAGTTGACAGTCCGGGCAAGATGGCGGCGTCCTTGCTGTGTTCTGTGTTTCGTAGTGCCCGGCAGGTGAGTGCAAGGACGGGACGAGGGCTGGAGGAGAGGTTATATATACAATGGGCCGGGGGCATGTGTAGGGAGACACAGGGAGAGTTCATATAATATGACCCAGCCTGAGATCCCAGATACTTCTAATGCTAGAGCGCATGTCAGGGCTGATCCTCAGCAGATGATGGATTATTATAGGTAGAACTTTTTTTTTTTTTAAAGAGCAAGGGAGAATTCTGTCAGTTTTTTTGCCATCTGTGTCCCATTGGGGCGATTTCCCTTCACTTCCTGTCCCATGGCCACAACAGGAAGTGAGAGGGAAGCCCAGAGTGTCGCTACAACTGGTGTCCCCATTGGAAGATTTCCCCTCACTTCCTGTTCAGGGGACAACCCAAAATGTGGGGTTTCCTTTCACTTTCACTGATAATGGTAAACAGGACAAATAGGGTGAATCTCCCTAACAGGGCCACAGGCAGCAATAAATACCTGACAGGGGTTCTAATCCCTCTCCACTCCAGCCAAAGCTTTGCAACAATGTTTTAGTGCCAGATGAATGATCAGGTGGTGGTACATGTACAATACACGTTGTATTATAGTGCCATTATTATTATATACTGCTACAGTGTGGGCCCTCTGTGCTGGATCATGTAGATGTACGAGGGTGTATCAAACAGTCCATGACTACATGTGTCACCGCGTCTGCTATTTCATCATGGGCAGAAAATCAGAACAAAGAGCAAATGTGAAACTGGGCAAATCTGCCACACAGACGTTTGACATGATTTGGCAAGTTTACAGTGATGCCGCACTTCAATAGTGGACGAACATCACTGGAAGACAATGAGAGATCAGGAAGACCTTCAACGTGTTCAAGCTCTGAAAATGTCTAAACCGTTTGGCAACTTGTACATGACGGTCGTCAGAGAACAATCCACAGCATTGCTGCCATTGTTGGTGTGTCATCCGGAACAGTCCAGGCAATCCTCACGTGAGCTTGGAACTTTTACCCGTGGTGCTGCCACGTTCATCCCCAGGCTGCTGACCCAAGAGCAGAAGGAACAGTGCATCAAAGTCTGCCAGCAACTCTGTCATTGGATGACCCATCCTTCATGTCGAGGATCATTACCGGTGACAAAACCTGGGAGTACAGGTTTCATGCAGAATTTCACGTTTGTTCTAACTTGCTATCCATGATGAAGTGGCAGTTGTGGTAACACACGTGGTCAGAATTGCACCAGTAGCACAGCTCCTGATGTACACAGGATGATGTCTTTTAGCACGCTGACTTATGAAGGTTGGTGCTCCATGCGACTGTGCGTGCAGCTTTGTGCTGCCGCTGCCATCTGTTGGTGTGTTACAAAACTTTTTAATACCACTTCGTATGTAATCCAGCATTTCCAGGTAGGGGACATGCATGTGCGTGCCCACCACCCCGGCTGTGTTGTTCTTCATGTTTCCTCTGGGCTCCATTTAATGTATTGCAATGCAGAATGTATTGGGCACTCACAAATGCTGCTGCCAGACCTGGAGTACCCCCTCCACCTTCTTTCACCCCGGGCTGGTCTCTATTGTTGTGTATGGTGCTCTCCTGGCTTCTGCTACCTTTACCCCCTTGGGGGCCTAGATTTGCCCCCCCCCCCCCCCTTTTTTTTTTTTTCCTTCCTCTCCCCCAACCCTGTATTTTTCTGTTTTCTATTCTACTATTGTTAATGTTTATGTAACCTATTTTTGCCCTTTTTTTCTGTTTAGATTTTATAGCACTTCAGTAAACTCTAGATTGATAATAAAACTGCACCGGAACTGTGGTGTGAACTGTAAGCAAAAACATATCTGGAATGCACCCAGAGTGCGTTTTTGTGGTGTGAACTGGCCCTGGGGATTATTTACTTAAGCTGGAGAGTGCAAAACATGGTGCACATCTGCATAGAAACCAATCAGTTTCCAGGTTTTAATTGTCAAAGCTTAATTGGACATGCGGAAATTAGAAGCTGATTGGCTGCTATCCACAGCTGCACCAGAGCAAACTGTCAGCGCTATATAAGTCCTGTATAATAATAATAATAATTCTGAGTGCTCCAGTTTTAGTAAATCAGTGTCTAAATGGTTAGCACATCTGCCTGGCAGTACTAGGATCGTTGGTTTAAATCCCAACCATGGTACCACCTGCTTGGAGTTTGCATGTTCTCCCTGTACCTGCGTGGTTTTAGTCCGGTTTCCTTGCACACTGCAAAGACATGCTGGTAGGTGAATTGGATCCTGTCTAAATTGTCCCTGGTATGTGTACGTATGAATGTAAGGTAGGGCCTTTAGATTGTACACCCCTTGAGGGTTAGGGACTGATGTGAATGTACAATATATATGTAAAGTACTGCGTAAATTGATGGCGCTATATAAGTACCTGTAATAAATAAATAATCCCGAATGTGTAAATTTCTCTCCACAGCTGCTTCCTTGGCTCTCTCCAACATTCACAAACCAAGTGAGAAGTAATCATGTAGACTGGCGAATGTGGAGAGATGTGAAGAGGAGGAATGTCATGTATGAATATGCCGATGAAAGATTAAGGATCAATGCTTTGAGGAAAAACCAGATCTTGCCCAAGGATCTTCAGGTACTTTGCAGTTTGTTGATTGCATTTGAAAGAAAAATATTAGTTTTTTTTCTGAGACAAAGAAATCCACTTTGTAGCATGTTTGTAACAATGTAGCATTTTTGTTTGTTTTTTTTTTTTTGACAGCTCTGAACATAGATGCATTGTTTTCAATGGGACAATGCACACAGCTGAGCAAAAATCTACAATGCATCTGTTCAGAGGAATAAACAAATAGAAAATCTGGAGTGCAGTAATTTATTCACATATACGCAAGTAGCGTGTAAATTGAAACATTGGCAGCTAGAAGAGAATGAAGAATTTTACTTATGTTTTTATGCACCTGCAACCTTCAGTTTTCTTTCTTTTGTTTTATTTTTTTTTGGTTTTTACTAAGGCCTCCATACACATGGCTGTAAAAAAAAAAAAGAAAATCGCAGTAACAAATATTTTTTATTTACGGATCTGCATTCAGTTCCAATGTTTTCAATGCAGACAAAAACATTCACACAGGTGCGTATACCTATACACTGCATTTATATCCGGAACCAAAAATCTGCATCTGAGGACATGCCTATGCATGCATACAATTGAGAAAAAGATCTGTTTTTCAATGCATAATAATTGTAAGGTTCTATTTACTGACCAATATGCTGGAATGCTTGTTCCTTTAAACTGAGAACCTACGGATCTTTCTGCCAGCAAGGTCCTGTGTGTAAATACCAGTAAACTAATGCATCCATGTGCATCCGTGTACAAGAGGCCTTCATTTTTGCAGGCAGTTTGGAAGAGTAGTATGTTGGCCAGTGAGGTCAATCATAACATTTTATAACCAAAAAGAAGTATGGGCAGCAAAGGGGGAAGGGTTATACGGCAATCATGCAAACTTTGATGGCAGATTCCTGTGTGGAGCACTCTAGGATCTCAGGCTACTGCGGAGCTCTGTAAAGATTGTGAATATGCGTACCTGCTAGCCAAGACAAGAACCAGCCTAAAGCGGACCTTGCAGCTAAAGTGCAAGGTCTGCTATTTAAGTGTGCTTTGCCTTACTGAAACACTGCATAAAAGCTTTAAAAAAAAGACCTGCAGAGGGAAATGTTAACTAGTGCACTTACCTTTCTCCCAGCTTCCGTCTGTAGTACTTGGGGGAGGAGGATGTCGTCTTTCATTTGCAGGGAAATCTCATAAGTGAAATATTGCTTGCATCTGTATCATTTCAAGTGTATTTATAGGTGTATATATTTTTTTTTTCCGTTTTGATAGTATAGTAAAAGAGGTTAGAACATGTCAGGTTTTCTTTGCTGTTTATGTGTCCCCATTATGGATAGTCGCTCTTTCTATACCGGAAAGTGAGGGGAAATCTTTCATTGGTGACAGTTATCAAACAAAGGAATTGCCCTCCCATTGTGTAGATTCCCTCTCGCTTTCTGTTGTTTCTTAGAGACAGTGATGAAAACCCCTCTTAACACAGACAGACTATCTCATTCTAGGAGGTGGACCATCCCCTCCTCAAAACTCCACTCTCTTGGCCTCAGAGACTCCGCTCTCTCCTGGTTCTCCTCCTACCTATCGCAGCACTCCTTCAGTGTTACCTATAACGCTACCACCTCCCCTTCACTCTCTCTCTCTCTCTGTAGGGGTCCCTCAAGGTTCTGTCCTTGGACCCCTTCTCTTCACCATCTACGCCTCCTCCCTCGGTCACTTGATAAACTCCCACGGCTTTAAGTACCATATCTATGCTGATGATACACAAATCTATCTTGTCTACTCCTCACCTCACCCCTTCAGTCTCCACCCGCATCGCTAGCCTACTAAGTGACATTTCGGCTTGGATGTCACTCCACTCCCTCAAACTCAATCTTTCCAAAACTGAGCTCCTAGTATTCCCCCCAGCCTGTGCCCCCTCCCTTAATTCTCCATCAAGATCAATAACACAATCATCAGCCCATCCCCTCACGCCAGGGTACTAGGTGTAATCCTAGACTCCCATCTGTCCTTCCAGCCCCAGATCCAATCGCTGACAAAATCATGTAGACTTCACCTCTGCAACATCTCCAAGATACGACCGTTCCTAACCTCGGAAACCACTAAGCAACTTATTCACTCCCTTGTTATATTACGCCTTGACTATTGTAACTCCCTCCTTATTGGCTACCTCATCGCAGGCTATCCCCCCTTCAGTCTATCATGAACGCTGCTGCCAGGCTCATCCACCTCACTAACCGCTCTGTATCTGCCACCCCTCTCTGCCAATCCCTCCACTGGCTCTCAGTTGCCCAACGGATAAAATTCAAAGCACTAACAATGACATATAAAGCCATCCACAACACTGCCCCAACTTACATAACCGATCTTATCTCTAAATATCACCCAAACCGTACTCTCCGCTCCTCACAAGACCTCCTACTCTCTAGCTCCCTTATCTCCTCTTCCCACACTCGTTTCCAAGACTTCTCCAGGGCGTCACCCATCTTCTGGAACTCCCTACCCCAATCTATCAGACTATCACCTACTCTACTTACCTTTAGGCGATCATTGAAAACCTACCTCTTCAGGGAAGCCTATCCCACCCTCTGCTAATACTGGAATCCTCTACTCTTCCAACCCCCACAGTTTTTACCTATTGTGCCACTCACCCCTCCCTCCTAGATTGTAAGCTCCAAGGATCAGGCCCTCAATTCCCTCTTGTTGTGTATTGTTACTGTGTTGTCTCCCACTATAATGTAAAGCGCTGAGCAAACCGATGGCGCTATATAAATCCTGTATAATAATAATCATACGAATAATTCTACCTAAAATGAAAAAGAAAAGTTTTAGCTGTACATGTATTTAGTTTCATTAACTAGTGTCCTTATAACAGATGTGGTTACTTTTTTTTTTTTTTTTTTGCAGGATATAGCAGATAAGGAGATTGCCACACTGCCCAGGGATAGCTGTCCAGTGAGAATTCGGAACCGCTGCGTTTTCACCTCACGTGCTCGTGGTGTTAAGAGGCGTTGGCGAATGAGCAGAATAGTATTCCGCCACTTTGCAGACCACAATATGATTTCTGGTGTGCAGAGGGCCATGTGGTAACAACTAGATTAAGGAGGCTACAGCAATGATAACTACCCTAAATTTGGACATTGCATTTTTCACATTCTTGTGACATGGTGTGCTGTACAGCATGTGTTGTTTTTTTTTTTTTTTTTTTTTTTTTTTTAATATGATCACCTAATAAAATATTATTATTGTTGTTCAGTATTTTCAATCAAGCTGCTTTTGTTATTTGAAATAAATGCATCTACCTTTTAGTTATATAATCATAATGATATGATGATATTTACAAAACAATTGCATTTTTTTTAGGGCCAATTCACACCGCTGATCTGCATTTTAGCACAGCTGTAAAATGCAGAATAATGGAAGGACATCTGAAAAACAATATCCAATGTGCCCTATTCACACTGTAATGCTGCATTGCACTAAAATGCAACAGGTGTGCATTTTAACGCAATGTATGTTAACGGAAGTCAATGCAATGTACAGATATCCTGTAAAAATGAAGTACACTTTAACACACTAAAATGCATGTCAACGGGTGTCAAAATGTATGTCAGTGGATGGAAATGTACATGCATTTTCCATACATTTTTTAGCACAGGTCAGTGTGAACTGGCAATGTTTTAGTGTCTTTTGCAACATCTGTAACTTTGTTACTATTTTGTCTCCTTACATTCAAACAGACTCTCTAAGGCAGGCCATAGACGGGCCGTTGATCAGCCAAATTTTCGGCCGATAAACGAAAAATCGTTCGGCCCAGTTGCCGATGCTGCCACCCATGTCGGCTTTTCCAGCATGACCGATAAAAATAAATGAAGAGATCCGCGAAAAACGGCCGACGGGCTGGCCACACTAACGGCTTGATTATCAGCCGATATTTCGCGCGGATGAAAATTCGGCCGATAAACGACCCGTCTATGTCCTGCATAAGGGCCAATTCAGACTGATTTGCTCTAAAATGTATGGAAAATGGATGTACATTTCCATCCATTTTTGCTGAGCACTGACGTCTGTTGAAATACATTTTGACATCAGTTGACATGCATTTTAGGGCACGTTAAAGCGTACTTCGTTTTCACAGGATAGCTTATGCGTTGCGTTGACATCTGTTGCATTGCGCTAAAATGCATAATGTTGCATTATAGGGGGGGTGGGGGACTTTTTATTCTCAATGAACTCCAAGAAATTTGAACTGTAGTAATTGATACTTGTAGTAATTTTCCCTTCCTGGCTCTGCAGCACATCTGCACTCCACCCCCTATACCCTATAGGGCAACCACTATCTAGACTGGTGAATTGAAATGATTCTCCTTTAGCCAGTGTTCCATGATTAGACTCATGAAACAAAAAGTCTTGTGCTCAGCGTTACATCACGGCATAACAGCGTCTAACTAGCATTGGCCTAACGAGAGGGAAAGGAAAATGAATGACACCAAACACAAAAAATTGCTGCTGCATTCGTTTTTAATATTGTGCCACAGCGGCAATGAGGATGAAGATGCTCATGATATTCCTAGGACCCAAGGTCCCATCTAGCTTTTAGTGGCATATAAACATGTTGTAAGAGCTCCAGCTTACTGCTCTACAAACAACCTCTGCCAATACTTTAGATTATCTGGGCCAGGATGTTACCACCACCCTAGTCCAATGTCCTTCATCTTACGAGGTGGAGAGAGACTTTCAACAGAGTAGGCAATCTGTATGGTTATGACAGTCCATGAGGAGATCAATCTACAGGATGCCTGTTTGGAGAAATGGCTTGATCCTTAGCAGGTAAGTATGCAACAAGAAATTCAAATACAAATTGGCCTAACTTGACTCATCCCCCATCTACTTTACCCCCCAAAGTGGTGTACAGTTGCTACATAACCATGCAGATAGTCTCTACCAATAGGAATCTTGTGACAGTGGGATGAGGGAAATTACATTATTGCCTTGCACTGAGCCATTCTGGAACATGGCCAGCAGCATGAGCAGCGCCAGACACACACCCATGCAAAGAGAACGGTAAGAGAGAAGCCACTGCTAAGTCCAGGAATCTGTAGATGCCACAGGCAATACACCCCAGGACAAAGCAATAGTTTCCACCTGATCACAAGGATTTACTTCCACCAGAGAGTGATCTACCTGGGGGATGTCACCCAGGCAAACCAATCCCAGAAGGGGGAAGTCTGGAGCAAGAAAAAAAGGAAGGACACTAAAGCCCACAAGCAAACCACAGAACTGGGGACTACATGCAGCTCAGAGATCCACCTGATGGACTGTACACATGAAGCTGGCAGATGAGCCATGAATATCCACCTAGTAAAACTTTGAGAACATGTGAACAGAAGACTTGCAAATCTGGGAAACAATAGCCTGATGCTGAAAAACACAAGATGCACTCACAGATATAGTACTGTGTCATTTGACAGGAAAGGATGGAAGCCAATCCTTAAGATCAAAAGCTTGAATAATGAATTTGAATCACTATATTTACTTTGGAGGCAGTGACCCAAAACTAGTACATAGTCAACGTACTGAACCCAGTGACAGCCAGGTGACCAGTGCCTTCAAAAAGTGTGTACTGTGAAAGTAGAGTTATCCTAAGGTGTGGAGGTGGGAATCCAACAATGTTTAATGACACATCCTAAATAGGAGTGTAACATGAAACACAGTCACAAAGATGAACTAAGCCTTTAAAACAGGGGTGTCCTCCCAGCGGCCCAAGAGTTCATCGGTCTGGACATGTCAGGAGGGACCCTGTGCAAGCATAAAAGCCATGGCGGCCAGCAGGAATAAACTAGGCACAAGCACATATAGAGGGAGGCCGTGCAAGCATAGCAGCTGCAGTAGCCAGCACTGATAATCCAGGCACAGTCACAGCTGGGGGGGGGGGGGGGTGCCAGGGCTGCCATTTTTCTAATAGCACTGGCAACAGTGAATACAGGGTCTCCCGATAGCGCCAGGAAAGTAAATGCTGCATGGCTGTATCTAGGGGGGTGCTGGGGAGGGCTATACCTCCCTACCCCCAAATTTCAGTTGGGGCCCCACCCACAACCTCTCCACATAGCATATGGGGAGAGGAGCCCACCCCAGAACCTTCATAGATACGGCCATGCAGCTGTATGTTGCCCTCTTTTACTTTTATAATAAAAAATATTACAATTAAAATTTAGTTTTATTACATACATTATCTATATCTGTGATCATTAACTTGTGATGTTACATAGTTAGTCTGGCTGAAAAAAGAAAAAAGTCCATCCAGTTCAACCATTAAAAAAAAAAGTTATAATCCTATACCCACAACTGATCCAGAGGAAGGCAAAAAACCCAGCAAAGCATGATCTGATTTGCTCCTGCAGCAATTAAAATTCCTTCCTAATCTCCCCAGAGGCAATCAGATATTCCCTGGATCAACTTTACCTATAAATGTTAATATCCAGTTATATTCTGTGTATCCAGGAAAGAATCCAGGCCTTTTTTAAACAATCCACTGAGCTGGCCAGAACCAACTCTTGAGGGAGTCTATTCCACATTTTCACAGCTCTCACTGTGAAGAAACCTTTCCGTATTTGGAGATTAAATTTCTTTTCCTCCAGACGTAAAGAGTGCCCCCTTGTCCTCTGTGATGACCTCAAGGTGAATAGCTCTACACCGAGTTCACTATATGAACCACTGATGTATTTATACATGTTGATCATATCCCCCCTTAATCTCCTCTTCTCAAGAGAGAATAAATTCAGTTCCTCTAATCTTTCCTCATAGCTGAGCTCCTCCATGCCTCTTATCAGTTTGGCTGCCCTTCTCTGTTCTTTCTCCAGTTCCCCAATTTTCTTTTTGTGAATTGGTGCCCAAAACTGAACTGCATATTCCAGATGAGGTGTTACTAATGATTTGTATCGGGGTAATATGATATCTCCCTCTCTGGAGTCTATAACATATTAATACAAGAGATGATTTTTCTCGCTTTAGAAACCGCAGCTTGGCATTGCATATCATTATTAAGCTTGTGATCTACCAGAACCCCCAGATCCTTCTCCACCATTGATTCCCCCAGTTGTACTCCCCCAGTATGTATGTATGATGCATGCATATCGTAGCCCCCAAGTGCATAACCTTACATTTATCAACATTAAACCTCATTTGCCACATAGTTGCCCATTTAAAAAGTGCATTGAGGAGATGTTACATATGTGATCTACCCAAAGTTTTCTACTTATCAGCTATCCTTATTGTTAGTGTATTTTATGCGCGGCCCAAGACTATTCCTCTTCTTCCAGTGTAGCTCTGGAAGGTCAAAAGGTTGGACACCCCCGCTTTAAAAAAAAATGTCCCCTACCACTAGTGTGTAGTGCTTGGCAGGTGCTCAGTACCAGTAGGTTCAGTCCTTGGCAGCAATGCTGCCACTATGGAATGAAAAGTTCCTCCAGATTCACCACATGCCCAGGTATGGTGGCTGGATTCTTTTACCTGGGAGTCCTCAAAATGAAGACTGGCTCCCCAAGATGTATCTGTTTCCCTTTCCTGTAGAGAGCCCTCATGGGTATGGGGACATAGTATAGTCAAAACCAGGGGCGGACTGACCATTTGGAAACCCGGGCACTGCCCGAGGGCCCGGGGTCAGTAGGGGGCCCCATGAGATGCCCCTGGTACCTTTTTCATAGGCTTTTTTTGAGTTTGGGCAAGGACACAGGGGCCCCATGATCCCCTATTGCCCAGGGGCCCCATGAGTTGTCAGTCTGCCCCTGGTCAAAACACTGCTGCACAAGTATATGTACAGTACATACCTGTATATGAGGTAGTAATGACATTGACCTCCAAGTGAATACAGGCTGGTTGTAGGTGCCGGAATTGCATCTGTTTCCACACCCGCAACTGAATCGCAGTGCTATTACCAGATGCGCAGAGCTACCATTCATTCTGAATCAGGGGCTGAATGACAACTCATGGGGCCCCCAGACAATAGGGGATCATAGGGCCCCTGTGTCCTCACTCACACTCAAACCACTCCCAAAAAAGCCTATGAAAAGTACTAGGGGCATCTCATGGGG